CTGCCACTTCTGCCTGGAGTCTCAGATTCTCCATCCGAGAGGGGTCCCTGCAGGAATGAAGCCAGGCAGTGGCAAGCCTGATCCCGGAGATGAGCTCGGGTTCTCGGTTACACACCCCCATTGTGCCATCTGGCTTTGCACATTCATTGCACAACCATTTTATTCATGTTTCCTCCCCCGCTCGACTGCAAAGCAGCTCGCCCGCCTTGTGTCCTGGTGCCGCACACAGAAGGCGCTCAGTACCAGACTTGCAAGATGAGCAAAGAATGCTGCTTTGCTGGGGCTGTGAATTCTAATGAGATGGAATTGTTCCAGCACCGTGCATTCATGGGCGATTCTAACAGAGGGATTTCAGGGGCTGGGAGTCACGGCTTTGGGCCAAGGTCCTTTTGGTTTTCCAAATCTTGCTGCCTCAGTGGCTGCTCCCTTGGTTCCAAGTCCACTGTCTCTTACTTCCTCTGTTGTCATTAGCATCACCCGATGTGTCTCTTCTAGTCTGGACTTTCAAGGACATCGGAAGCCACTTCTCTCAGAGGTTTGGCTTCCCTAGTGTCATTAGTGGCTGAAAATAGTGTCACTCTTGTGAAATAGCCCTGTGACAACTTCCTCAATGACTGCCTTTGTGTTAGATGTGGACGTGGGCTTAGGAAGAGCCTCCAGATAGCATGAGAGCATTCTAAACTTGCTAGTTCTAAATGGAGGTGTTTGTGTAAGCCCTAATGGTCTCGGGGACACCTTATAGGAAACGCCGTGTTATCAGGCTTCTGAACCTGAAACCTGCGGATTCCTCAGGGCAGGCCAAGTGCAGAGCCACCAAGAGCTTTAATCCCACTTTAATCAGATTCCATTCCATAGAACTCTCCCTTAATGAGGGTTAATGACATTAATTACTGTCCCCTTCACTTAAGAACATGCTCAAGAGGAGCTAAATGTCACATAATGGCCCAGGAATAGCTCAGGCCCCAGCAGAACTCCCCAGAAGAGCCTATTGCTCTTCTTTCCTCCAACCCCACAGCCCTCCACCCCACACACCTCCTCTTTCCCTTTCCTCCCATCATTTCTCCCATGTCTCTGTTAGAAATGGAAGGTTGTGCATTGTTGCATCACCTTTCCTGGGGACTGGGGATTTTTTGCACTGACCACTGACAGGATCATAGTTTGGTAACCTGCCCGGTGGATGATAACATATTGGGATTCTCCTGCAGGACAGGTGTGCTGGCTGGGCACCCCTATCCTGTCTTTCTTTCTTCTCTCTCTTTCTTTCTTTCTTTCTTTCTTTCTTTCTTTCTTTCTTTCTTTCTTTCTTTCTTTCTTTCTTTCTTTCTTTCTTTCTTTCTTT